TACGCTAACCTATGCACTAATTGGATCCACAAGAATTGGGACATGGTTTTGACAGAAAAGTTGATACAGATATAGGTTAAAGGAGATATTGTAGGGATCGCCGTCTTGTACTAGCTCTTGGTCTGTCAGGGTTCTTCTTTTGCCATCTTTGTCATTATCCTATGCCATTCTACGAAGGTCCTCTCACACGACCACAAATCGGTAAGCTGTAGGATAGCACTGCATGGCTAGAAACTTCCTTTTCTAATTCAGTTTTCATGCTTCCCTTACAAATAGAGTCGAATAATTTTACTGGAGAAACTTTAAGCGTGTACCTTGCCCTTTTCTCAGTAGATGATACTTCGCCTTTGGGAACATAATTCTAGCTCTAGCAATACATTAGTCATATTAACTTCTCTTCTTTCATTCATGAGCCTCAGATTCAAGATAACATAAATTATGTCCGTGATTCTCCGTATTTTCTGACTATCATGTGATTTAATTTCTTTTGTAAACAAGTTTGAGCAATATGAAAAAATTTGATAGAGTAAAAGCAGTTTCCGAATCATATACAATTTAGTCAAAAAATTAAAAATTGCGGAAAACTAAGCGCCAGAAAACATTATGGAAAATCATATAACAATCTATCATGTCTTGATCTTGCTCACCCGAGCTTTGCAATTCCAATAATCGTCTTCTTTCTCGTTTATTAATCTTCTCCGTCCTAAAAATGAAGGGAGAAAGACTTTGAAAAATGAGTGATGATTCATTCCAGTTAACGGCACAGTAGCAACAGAAGCAGGAGGCTGTTCCTATAAATACGATTGGTGTGACTACACGCCGAGGTTTCATCAATTTTTATTTACCAATGAAAATTCAATGACGACGACATTATTCTTTCAGAGTTCCTATGTGGTTGTATCTATTCAATTTCGGAATTATACAGGGAATGTCCTATCCCCTTATTTCAGCTCCTTCCAACACTCTGTTATCTGAAATTATTGGACCAAGAAAACAAGTAATTTTTTTACATTTTCTTTCAAATATAACGCGGGTAAGTTGATTAGCAAGTTTAGGGTACTATACAAGGATTCTTTGCTTTTACCGGTAGTATGGCACAGTTTGTGGTGCCTATATTCTCAACGTAAGTCTCAAAATCCTTTCCTTGGGTAATATTCCTATGCAAAGCATTTAGCACACTGTTCGAGATCTCCGGCTACAAATACATTATGGTGTACCATCTGATTATC